TTGGGAGATGAAAAATTAGAGATTTAATAGTGATCACTTCTTCCCCCTCGACAAACCTGGAGGCATGGATGTAGGTGCAATTTCAACCGGTTTGCGAATGCTGGATTGGACGCAACCCAATAATAATTTGTGCTATTTTTGTATTTATGCCATGTATCAGCCGTAAAGCGAAATATTCAATAAGGTTTTGTAGGTTACACAGGACGTAACTTTTAACTTTTATTTTGTGTTCCGTCAGACGTCTTAACGCTAGACACTATGCGTCTTTATTTCCTTGTAAAGGAGGGAAAATTGGCTGTAAGCATTGTAATGTTGGGGGCGGGCCTGCTACCACAGCAAAGAAGAGACAGAAAGGTCCCATTGAAATCCAGGAGGGCTTACACAGGAAAATCTCGTGTGGTTTTACAGCTGGCAGTCCGTACAGAGCAAACCTGCCAGAGAAGAGGCACGTCTGACTTGTTTGGGGGTTGTAGCAGGACTGGATTTATGACATCACCCATTGCGCAGAGCTCAGGCTTGGTGCAAGAGTCCACAGCTCTCGTTTACATGGCATGCCAAAGGCAATGTGCCACTGTCATATTGACAGAAATGGTGCTACAAGCATCTCTCTGAAGAGAGTCCACCTTAAAAGGCAAATCATCATCATAATTTATTGTACTTTAAATTAAGGGCCTGCACAGGCATTACACAAGGGGTCAGAGTGAATACATCAATATATAAAAGCAAAAAAAAAGCAAAAAAAAAAAAAGGCTAAAACCAATTTTACATTAAACTTCAAACTATATGTTACGGAAGGATAAACAAACTAGAGCATTTGCAGAAATAACTCTAAAGGCCCGATAACACATATGCAACCGAGTAAGACCGAGAGAGACCAGACCAGTTTTTAATCCTTGATGACGTCTTAGGACCAGCTCCGCTGCAGTGCATCCGGTCCTAAGACATCGCAAGAGGCTTAAAAACTGGTCTGGTCTCTCTCGGTCTTACTCGGTCGCATATATGTGAATGGCGCTTAAGATGACAATGCTATAAGTGCAAATGAAAATATTCAGTTAAACTAATAATGTGATATGGTCAATTTGGGCCACAATGCTGTTAGGTAAGTTGTTACAGTCCATTATTTTTAATTGCAATGTGGAGTAAAGAAATAAGACAAAGTGAAAATGGGGCAGTAGCACTGCAAACTGGAGTTTCACAGTGGTCTCTGCAACAAAAACTTGCAGAGACGGCTTTTGGGCCTTCCCTCAAAACATTGCCAGTTCCTCAATAGTGTAGTTTTTTTGGTTTTTTTTGTCGCATAATTTAGGGTCTTGCATTTTTTTTTTTTTTTTACAGAAACTACCTGAGGTGTAGGAATGGTGGAATTAACCCCTTGTTTTGTAGGGAAGCCCACAACATCTGCTGGCATTCGTCTAATGATTTTGAAGAAATGGCCCCTGACAATGGGAAGCAAATGAGGCTTTGGGGTTGTTGCAGTCCCCAGTTTTCAGAAACCACACATAGCGTAAATTGAGAACACTTATGATAGTCTGCAAATACTTCCGAGGCAGCTTCTCTGGCTTGTTTTACACAAAAAAAAGTCCCATGGTCTCGAACACAGAGTAAAGCATTCCAAGGCATTTGGTGCAGTGAAAATGTGTAGCATCCGATATGTTTTATGAACGAAAGAAATTGTGTATGTTTATTTTTGAACAATTTATGGGGGATGCTTTCCTGCTCACAGTTTTTGCTAGCAATGTTCTTCCAGAGTGGTTAAACCCCAGAAAGTTGAAATTTTGCTCCTTGACCACTTCTTTAGGCAAAGAGAAGGAATAGAGATAACCATGCCTCTAAAGTTTACAGTATGTTTGCTACTTCTTTCTATCTGCTAATTAATTTTGTGAACAACGAATTAGTTTCAGAGGTAAATTCGATTTAATTGCTGGACTTTCAGATCTACCAAGTTTGCCATGTTTGAAAGCGTTGGCGGAGAAAGAGACGGGTAGGGAACGAGAGAGTAGCGAGCATGGCTCACTACTTTCTCTGCTTCTGAAAAAGAATGTGTTTTATTACTTCAGTAGGAGAGTATAAACTTGAACAAGTTGGTCATGCATGGCGAAAGGAAAACAGCATAAAGAAGATGAGGGAAAAGTCGAAGGAATGGACACACCAGTTGCTGACTTGCTGGTTGGTGTTTTTTTTCCTATCAAATTCAGTTGCAAGTCAGTGACTGGTATGTCTGTCCCTTTGACTTGTCCCTTGTCTTTTTTGTGCAGTTTCCTTTTCACTCCTTCGACTGTTTATTCGAATCACATGGTTTATGACACCATTTTGTGACTGGAGCGTGGGTTGCCACCAGTTGGCCATGTCAGGGACGTATTATGGTTGCCTGGTCACCATATAAAAACTAGCAACATCTTAGAAATGAGCTTGTGTAACTAATAGACATGTAAAAAATCTTTAAGCTTAGTGTGCACATTAAAAGGGCCATGAAACGATTTTCAGGCTTCAGCTTAATTATCGCTACTGTCACATAAAAATGTGAACAGGAAACTATTTTTGGTTGGGTGCATTGGTTTTTTGGTCTAAAAATGGAACTGGTTGAAGTGTGTGGCATCCCTCCACTTTTGCTCAGTGTTCCGAATCATTCGTGGGGTAAAGTTTTCAAGCGGGATGTGGAGCTTCCAGTTGTGTTCTGTGTTTAGTGCCTTCAGCGAGCATTGTGCTGCTGCAAGAATTCATCCCACCAGCGCTTGCAAACTTTCTCCATTCTCTGGAAATTTTTGTCTAAAATTTTAACACTTTTCAAGTTCAGTTTGGGCATGTCGGAATACCACAATCAGTTGGCATTGCTATTGTTTACGGCAGACAGTCAAACTCAAATGAGCGAGTAAATGCAACTGTAAATGCACACTCTTATTTGTTCATCATGGAAGCAGCAGAGAGAGGATGGCTTGGTTTGACTCGGGTAGATAGCACGACTTAAACTCCATCTAAAAAGCTGCTCGTTGATATGAAACTTTTGACGCATTTATTAATCTGTACAGCAAAGTTTATAAAACTGAATGCTGGTTCACACATGCATCTCAGTGCTGAATAACAGAGTCACTGCTGCATCACTGCTACCATCAGTGTTGGGTTAGTGCTGCATTGTTCTGTAAGCAAGCAAAGGCAGGGTCACATGCAGAGGAGCACTGGTACCACTAATATAGCTCAAAGTCAGCACTGCGTGTTAGCACTGCTCTCTCTGTGTAAAACAACCTTTAGCTTTACAAATTGAGCAAATAATTGCACAGCTTGCTAGCCCACTGCAACATATCCCTTGAGTATGACCGGCCAAGGTGTTCCTGTGGCTGCCATATGCAGCTGCAGATTGGGAAATTGTTACTTTTTTTTTGCTTAGTACTTACGCAGCAGAATCACTTTATTCTGGGGGAGGGCTATATGGCTTCTGTCATTGGTGCGAAGAATAACTTAAAAGCTCAAAGTCAGCACTGCGTGTTAGCACTGCTCTCTCTGTGTAAAACAACCTTTAGCTTTACAAATTGAGCAAATAATTGCACAGCTTGCTAGCCCACTGCAACATATCCCTTGAGTATGACCGGCCAAGGTGTTCCTGTGGCTGCCATATGCAGCTGCAGATTGGGAAATTGTTACTTTTTTTTTGCTTAGTACTTACGCAGCAGAATCACTTTATTCTGGGGGAGGGCTATATGGCTTCTGTCATTGGTGCGAAGAATAACTTAAAAGTAATGAGCTAAATTCTTACAGCATTAAAATTGTTTCATGGTCCCTTTAAGGGGGGACACTACCTAAAGAAGTGAATGTTTGAACCACTTGTCTGATTTAAATGATATTTGCAGGGCTTGTTTCTGTTGATGTTGAGAACATTTCTGCCGTATTTTAACCTGGGTGGGTGAAGTACAAAAAAATTGCAAATGTTCAAAGATGAAAGTGGGCGTGTCTGCTTAGAAAAACTATCAGTTTGAAATTAATTATAAATTTGTTTTTTTGATGTGTTATATTGCTTTAGGACAGTTGAGCAGATAGCTATGGAGCTATATTTCTAGATTATACCATCTTTCATTACAAAAAAGCCACATAAACACTAATGCTTTTTTTTAAAATTTCCATCCTTTGTCCAAACTTTTAGTTCCTGCGCATGAAAAATAACAAAAATAAATATACAAGTTCATAGCTATCTTCCCCTTAAAATTACACCCCAGAAAAACTCATAAAAATTAATCCAAGTTACGTAACAACAAAACTATAGTTTTCCTAAAGTGAAATTTATGCCAAAAAGTGGAATAGAGAAAAATGTGTTCAATGTGCTCAAACCTCTACCTTTCTTTAGCATCGGTGGACCGAAAATAATTTACAAAAAAATTAACAATGCAGTGTAAACTAATTAAACTTTATGGGAATACTCTCTAGATGTTGGTGGATATAAATATGACATTTTTTCAAAAAAACTTTTTTTGCAGAAATTGTTTTTTTACTGGGTAGTGTTCCCCCTTAAGTAACATATGAAGAATTGGGTAGGTTGTTTTATTCTCGTGTCGCAGTCCCTTTTTTAAGAATACTGTGGATCGTAATGTCATTTTTGAACTTAATTTATGTATGTGCTAGCACTGACATGAGCAAGCTTGTGTAAGCAGTGTGTGTTGTCAGGCGTTGCCGGCGGATGTATTTCTGTGCAGTAGATGCGATTAAACGAGCATAAATGGTAGGCCTCGTCGCAGAATTAGCATATGTAAATATTTATTCTTGTTTTACACCATCCTATCTCGGAAAACGTGCGGTATAGTTTTGACTCACCTATCCTAGGAGCACGAGGACTAGAGGGGTGGGCCTTGGGGGCATAGCGGCTCCTGAGATTTCTTTTGGGGGGGGGGGGAGGGTATCGAAGAGTGTGCCCCTGGGAGGTGCTCTTGTCCTCGGTGGCTGCTTGGTGGGCGTTGTGTGTGTCCGAAGCCAGTGTTGTGACGTCTGTTGACCTGTGCTCTGTTCTCTTTGTCCAGGTGCAAACCACACGATGAACTCTTACCCCCCGAGAACCCTATCTTTTGCCATCATTCAAACAATGTATACAATCAGTTTGCCATAGAGTGCTGCCGCAGCCACGATTTTTGCAATCGTAACATCACCCCAACGTTAGCGCCGGACGACGAACGCATAGGTAAGGTGTGTGCGTGGCCGGTGGAGGGTTGCGTAGGGTGTGGGGGTTGGTGGCCGCCGCCCCTAGGCACACACACACACACACACACGCACGTGTGGCGTCTGCTTTGCCATGGTTTGTTGTGGGGCCCTCCCAGGTATGGCAGTGTGGCGCGCGCGAGTGTAACCGCCATTTTCTTATCTCTTTGTGCCAGGTGTCTGGACAAAAAAAAGATGTTCCCTCCTGACAATCCGGTGGCGTGCTCAAAGTCGGGCTTGCACAGTCCAACCGATATGGTCATAAACTGCTGCTCTGATTATGACTTTTGTAACCGCGACCTCCGACCCACCTTTCTTCCTGACAAAGAGGTCACAGGTGGGTCCTGCGAGAAAAAGGAAATGCCTGTCTTGTCTTGCTCCTCATGGCTGCTTGTGCTTCTCTGGTCTTGCTGCCTGTGTTGTGGGTGGGCAGTGCGGCATGGGGCCTCCCCTCCACCCCCGGCCCCCCCCTCTGGGACAAACCTGCCGGTCGTTGCTCCCCTCGTCGCTGGGACAGTCGGCATCTGCAGGTGTCTCCCGGTGCTCAGGAAGAAGTTTGGGGGCGAGGAGGGAGCGCGGGAAGGTTACCTGGCGCTGACTGATTGAAGTGGGGGTCCTCCACTGGAGAGGCAGGAATGTCTTCTGCTGTTTCTTCCGATTGGCTGGTGTTGTTCCAGAGATGTCGAGCTGGATTGGCACTGGCATGCCGTCTGTTGGCGACATGCTACGCGAGAGGGAAAAATTTACTCCTCGGGTGGCTCACAGTGATGTAGCAGGCAAATCGGGTGTACTAGAATCGGAATGCGAAAGCTGCAGATAGTTTATCTGGAAGAGACTTGAAGACTGTTCACACTTGGAGACCTCACCAAAGGCAATGGTGGAGGGCCCTTCTGGCAAAATGGCGGTTGAGGTTGACTAGGCGGGGGAGAGATCATCGTTCGGCTTCCAAAATGACCCTCCTGTCTCGCAGAGTCCACAAGGGGGATTTGTCCCGATGCATCGGCAGGTTGTCCGACCTCTGGAGGAAAGACAGCCAATGTCGGTATCTCCTCGATCGCCTCTGCTGCGGTGCATGGGCCCTTCTGAAAGAAACTTCAGAGTCACAGTGGTGGCTCTGAGAGGAGCATGTTAAAGAAAGCACTGGGGCCAGGGTGGGGGTGATAGAACTAATCAACACAAACAATCCACATGCTGGCGAAGTGGAAATGGGAATTTCCCATGGCTGCTATCGCACCAGTGGATTTTATTCCAGGGCCTGGTCGTGACTGTTATTTTCATCAGTTCCTTGCATCAGGAATGTGGAAGCGCCTTGTCGGCAGGGTCCAACTTTTTTGTCTTCCCTACGGGACAGTTAATGTTGTTCTGACCGAGTAAGGCCTAGGGTTGGAGAAATTCTTAGATATGGGCTTTCCTGATGAGGCTGGCATGAACATGAATGCTCGTAAGAGATTTTTTTTCGACTTTGTATGGTAAAGGGTGAGGTAGAAGGGAGTTTTTCCGGACATAGCTAAAAGCTTCTGCTCTCTTGGCCCAGTGCAAAGGCTTATGACGGAAGGAGGCTGCTGCAGTTTCCTGCAAGGTTTCTACAAAGCGCAACAGCTTCTCTCAGTCTATTGGTGATTGTCTATGCTCAGATCACAGAAGCTTTGTTTCAGCGCACAGCTCTTAGCCGCCCGTTTTCGGGTTTGGCGGCGTCGGCGTAACCACGCTAAATTTAGTGGGAAAATTGACGTCGCATGACCTCAGCAGCAGTTCAATTCCCTGCTAAATCTAGCTGGGAAAATGACGTCACATGACTTGGTGTCCAACACCTATGAACGAATTCAGTTTCTCTGCTACATTTAGCAGGAATATTGACGTTATGTGACCTCAACACCAATTCAGATTTCCCGCTAAATTTAGCAGGGAAACTGAAGGAGGAAGAGCAGGGGAGGAGGAGGGAAGAAGCGGAGGAGGCGGACTAGAGGATTAGAGAGTATGGAGGAGGAGGAGAGGCATACCCTCTTCTCCTTACCCTCCCCTCTTCCTCCTCGAGAGCTGCGTTCTAATTTCGCATTATAGAGATTTATAAACGTCTTTCATTTTTTTTCTTTTAAAGATAAACACGTTGGCCGTGTAGCTTATGTGGGCCAGGTGCCCTGAGAAGTCCTAGAACCCGGGAGACGTAATGCATGATTGGTAAAAGTACCAAGTGCGCATAGCTTGATGGACATAGGAGGACCCTTTGGTAAAAGAATAATAGTGAATCTATGGAGCCGGAATAAATCGTAGCTGTGCAAATGCGATGCAGTTTTTGATCTCTAGTAAAACGGCAACACTGCATTCACTGTGCTTGTGAGTGTCCAGTTACACAGCTTTGTCACTGTGCTAACTAGCCATTCCATGTTTGGAGAAACTTTTTGCATCAAGTGGCTTACCATGAAAAAAGTTTATTTCAAACTATTTAAATTTTGTGGATATCAGACTATGCTTGAGGATCATCCCTTGAGAACGGTGCAGTGCATGCATCAGATGTGACCCATACTTGTTACCTCAACAGAGAAGCAAGTTTTGTTCATAGTTCATATGCTGCAAAAAATTTGGTTGTCAGGAAAAAACAAAAGCTGTTTACAGTTGAAATGTGTAAATTTTTCAAAACAACAAATAACTGGTCTTAAGTGCACATACAAAGGTTTAATTCACCATGGCTATATAAAGAGGGAAATTGTGATGCTTTGCAAGGAGCAGAATTTTTTAATGCAAAAGCATTAACTGGTTGGGGCCTCCTCTCCCCCCTCCCTCTCATAAAGCACTTTGTCATGGGCGCCCCCCCCCTCAAACAAAATCCTGGCTACGTGTCTGCTTCTCGTCAAGGTGTAATTACCACAGTACATTTCTTTTTTTGGGTGTACACAGTGGCCCGGGACCCAATAATATGACTGAACAATTAAATTACACAAGCGAGTCGCCGAAACAGCACGTTGCTTCTTGACGAGTGTCGAGGCAATTTCGGCCGAAAACCGACTTCAATATTGGCCGGATGTACGGTTTTGCACCTCGTTCAGACATCCGGCAGGTATGGGTGTACCGATGCAAATAAACGATTTATGTCTAATAGCACTGGCACCACTGATCTCTTAGGAGGCTGGATTGCGGATAGAGGCCTGTATTGCTGGGGTCGAGCGGCACCACCAGCAGTCATCGCTTGACACAATATAATGCATGCTATAGGAGAAACGGGAAAACTCAATTTTATTACGTTAGGTTCTTCTATATCATGAAACTTCTATCTGTTTCCGCAAATAACAATTCATATTGTGGGCAAGAATATTAAATGCGTTAGAATACAGTCGACTCTCGTTAATTCGAAATCTCTTAATTCAAACTTTCGAATAATTCAAACTAACGTGCAGGTCCCATCCTAAGCGTCTCTATGGGAAGAAACTCCTGATAGTTCAAACTTTGCTTTATTCAAACAAATTTTTGGCCCCCCTCAAATTTGAATTAATGAGAGTCGACTGTATCAATCTTGTTTAAATAAATGTTGTGTGGTTGAGGGTCCAGGGCGACTTGGTTGGGCGGTAATTGTGATGTGTTTAATGAGACAAAGGGTACCGAGAGTTATTGTGGAGTCAGCAGTGATTTTGGAGCCATCAAAGCTCAGCAAACGATAAGTTAGAAGGCCTTTACTGGGGACATTTGCATTGTTTTAACCGCTTGTACATAGTACTTCATGGTGAAAGCTTTTTCTTTGAACTGCTGCGAGGGCTTCCATGACAAACTGAAACTCGGAGCTTGCCGTTCAGTCGCTGAACGTGCCATTTATTTAGCAACCGAAGCAAGCGGCATCTGTAAAGCTGGTGGTGCTCCGGCCCATTTTTTTTTTTTTTAAATCAATGTTTGAACGTTTGACGAATGTCTGTTTGGTCTCCAAGAACCCGATATGATCGCAGCACGTCATAAAATGCTCGGCCTCGAGCACTGCATACAAGCTTCCAATTTTTGCGCGTTTCACCCTTAGACTTGCGTGTATTGCCTCATGGTGTAATTGGCCAAAACAACAAGGACGAAAGCGAAGAGAGAACTAGACAGGACGCGGCGTATTGCCTGTTGTCAAGCAATGGCCGCCGGTGAGGCCAGTGACGGGCTCCTGATCCGCGATCCAGACTTGCACTGTGAGAGTTCTAATGCGTTACACCCGCGGAGTGCTGCACGGAGAACAGGCCTCGAACGAACTTGCCGAATTCACAGAGTGCAGACTGATGCTGTCGCCATAGATGTTGTAGAAAAGTATCGACCTCAAACCGAAACTAGCGCCTTTTTGTTCGATGTGATTGGTGGGAAAGCGAGAGCGCGGTCGCTGCCATTGTTTATCTATAAACGTTTTTTGCTGCAACATGTAACTTATATTTGCGATGACTTCCAATTAAGGAACTCTGCTGTCAGAGATATCTACAGACTACGTAATTTTCCGAAACCAGCTGACTACAAAACAGCATACACTTGAGAAAATTGATGGCACTGTACGCGCAAGAGCTTGCTTCGTTTTAAGCATAGTATTATGAGTGAACCACTGAAAGGACACGGCTTAAATCTAGTTCTTTGGAACATCCAGCAATACGTTTCGTAAGACTTTTTATTTCCCTGGTGAGGACATTGAGAACGAGTGCTTTTTCAAGACAAAATACGACGGGGCATTATAGCTGCCGTTCAAGTATGACTTTGCTTGAGCCTCGGGCAACGTCTCCATGTTCAGCCTTCCCGGACGCTGAGTGAATGCGTCACAGGTTTCTGCTGTGGGAGCTTTGTCGAAAAATGTTCCGCTTTTCACCCGCACACAGCTGATGCGAGATCTTGCGGCCTCTGTGTTTGTCTTGGGCCTTTCATAACACACTGGTAGGTTTCAGCATCTGTACGGCAAAAAAAACGACTCAAACTTTGCAAATAAAACACGGGTCGTCGATTCCTCCTTTCGTGAAATATCAGACGCTTACAATTCAAGCT